GGGCTCCATGCAGTAGAGCTGCTATCTGTAGTCTTAATAACAATCTGGCCATCTACAGACCCATTTCCCTTACAAAAAAGCTGAGGCCCAAAGCGCCTACAAATCCCTACAGGAAAAACAGAGCTGACTAGTTACAGATCCATGTCTTATATCCAAGTCTGTCCATTTCAGAACATAGATGTAATTCTCAAATGATTTGGGGAAACTATAACATTTGATTGATTTTAGAACATTAAAACATCTTAGTGAACATAAATTGTGTACTTGAATGAGAAGAACACTATTAAGGTATAGACCTTTACAAATATGAGGGTCAGAATGATGTTCTTTTATGTGGAATCCAAAAAACAAGAGCATTGATTTATCCTCTATTTAACAGAGGTAGGCTTTGCATAGTTCAATAAGACTTGAAATATTCAAGAGCCTATATTTGTGAATATGTAAGAATATGTAAGAATGACAAGCCAAACATCTGGTAAGATTCCCAAAGGGTGGCTGAGGAGTTATAACTTCCAGGGAAAGACTGACAATTCACCTCACAGTTAAACCTACATGTGCATATTTTCTGTATTTTCCCTATTTTTCATTGCATGCTCCTCCCCCATTCCTCTCGTGTGTGTGTGTGTGTGTGTGTGTGTGTGTGTGTGTGTGTGTGTGTGAGAGAGAGAGAGAGAGAGAGAGACATTCACATGTGTTTGGAGGTTAGATGTCAACAGGGGGCATCTTCCTCAATCACTTCTCTATGTTGTGTTTTCAAACAGGGTCTAGTACTATACCTGGAGCTCAATGCTTTGGTCAGACTGACTGCCTAGTAAATTCCAAGAATACTCCTATCTCCGATTTACCATACTGAGGTTACAGCTGCATGCTGCTACACCCGTATTTTTATGTAAATGTTGGAGTTCTCAATGGATGTCCTCATGCTTGCTCAAAAAGTACTTTACCGACTGTGGTAGTTTGAATGTTAATTGCCCCATAAGCTCATAGAAAATGGCTATTTGTTAGACATCCAGTATGGTCATGAAAATGATTGCATTTCTGCTGCAGTTGTCCAGCTGCCACTGGAAACTCAGGAAAAATGAAGCTAGATGTTGACGAAATGTTCTCAACCACCCCACACTGTTCTCAGATATCTGTAACTATTGCCTGGATTACTCTAGTGTCAAAGGTAGACAAAGGGGTTCTTCAAACATAAAAGCATGGTATTTTAAGTAGTATGTTTCACTAGAAGTTTCAGAAAATAAATATGAGCAAAGTAGTTTAAAAAGAAAAAAGGATTAAGAAAATTAGACCCAATTGAGAAAAGACAAGATAACACCACCATCTCTTTTTACTTCCTAATTATATGTTCTTCCTCTTCAATATCCTTGGTGTGACACCTTCTTTTTTCTTTAATTTACATTTGAAACAAGGTTGTTCTACATGTAAATTCCAGCTCCCTCACCCTTCAGTCCTCCCCTATCACCCCCACCTACCCCATCCCATCCCCTTTCTGCTCCCCAGGGAGGGTAAGGCCTTCCATGGGAAGTCTTCAAAGTCTGTCATATTATTTGGAGCAGGGCCTAGGCCCTCCCCCGTATGTCTAGGCTGATGGAATATCCCTCTATGTGGGATGGGCTCCCAAAGTCCATTCCTATACTAGGGATAAATACTGATCCACTACCAGAGGCCCCATAGACTGGCCAGTCTTCCTAACTAACACCCACATTCAGGGGGTCTGGGTCAGTCGGTCCTATGCTGGTTTCCCAGCTATCAGACTGGAACGACACCTTTTCTGAAACTTAGTTTTGGAGATTGCTGGGCTTAATCTTTATTTTTTTTATTTTATATAACCAAGTCCATTTAAATGAAAACAAACATTTATAGACAATATTTGGGAATTTGGGTGTCGTTCTTTCCAAACTACTTCCTGCTGGTAAGGGGTGCTGTCATGGGGGAAGCTGGGCTTAATCTTAAAGGAGTCTTTAGTAGGTAGCTGAGTAATAATGAGAGCAGGAGAAGCTATCTTTCCTGGGGACTATTAAGATTTTCTAATTCTGAATGCTCAGTCCTGAAAACATATATACAAGTAGCATTATACAGACTGAACGAGTTTTACTTATATATTAAAAAACATATGCGTGTGCTTATACAAACATATATACATATATATGTATATATATAAACACTTAAGGAAAAGATGTCATGAATTTACAATAAAGAGAGGAGAGAGGTACATGGCAGAGTTTGGATGGAGGAAAGGGAAAGGGGAAATAATATAATATTAATCTAAAAAAATAATAAAATAATTTGAAAATTAATAAAAACTTCATTGAGGTCTGAGGAGGAAGCTGCATGTCATGTTAACATAAGATCTGAGTTCAGTGCGAGAACATACGTTAGAAAAACCCATAGTGTCATGTGCTTATTTATACCCCAGCAATGGCGATAAGATAGGTATCTCCGGGTATAACTGGAAGCAATCATACTGAGTTAATAAGGTGATAAACACTGTATGTTTATCTCTCCTTTATGGTTATTCAATTATACATAGCTAGATAGCTAGGTAATATATATATATATATATATATATATATATATATATATATATCAATTCTAGAGAAAGAAAAAGGGGAGAACAAAGATGGGAGGGACAAGAAAAGGGGCAAAAGAGAATGAGGGACTTTTATCATAAAGGAATGTTAGATTTTTTTCAAAGGCCTTTCTGCATCTCCTGAGACGTTTCTATTTATGGGGTGGACTATGCTTGTTGATTATATATGTCAAACCATTTCTGCATCTCTGGGATGAAGCCAACCATCATGATGGATTTTTGATGATTGAATTCATTTGCAAGTATTTCACTGACAATTTCTAAATGTATGTTCCTTAGAGATATTGGCCTATAACTTCCTTTGAGTTTTGTGTGGTTTTGGTATTGGGCTATTATTACTATTGTAAAAAGAAATTGGAAAGCCGCTGAATCTATATCACTGGATGTTATAATTCTATTTCAATTATTTGCTTCATTGACTTAACTTTGGGAGGTCATATCTGTTTAGACAGCCATTCACTTCTTTTAAGTTTTCAAGGTTGGTGGAATACAGAATTTTAAAATGTGACCTGATTCTCTGAATTTCCTGTCCTTTGTACTGTCTGTCCTTCCATCTGTGATTTTGTTAATTTGGGTTGCTGCTTCTCTTCTTCTTGTTCATTGGGTAAAAGACTTATTAATAGGTATAGAAAGTGATGAATATAGTAAAAAGGCAAATGTGTTCTGTGAGTTTTACTAGAATATGAATGACATCATTATGTTTTGAGGGTAAAACCTTATGCTAAATTTAATAATTTTTTTTTTTTGGAGTTTTCCCGCAAAACCTCTCACTATGTCATCGAGAAATATAAAAATTTGTAGGGTGATTACTCACTAATGAATTACAAAATTACTTAGGTTAGATTTACTTAGAAAATTCCATACATGAATTAGTTGGTTTTTAATTATTGCTCTGTGTTTTTTGTTACATATTGCCTCAGCAAGTAATATGAATTAATTTCTTAATTTTAGTAATTTGTGTGGTTTGGTATAATTTAATAATAAGGAGATTTGGCCGAAAATCTTACTCTTGGATTTATATAGGAACTCTAATTTTTAAATTAAGAAAGGGGATTACTATTAGAGTGGAAATATCATATTCTACTTGGTGCAACATTTGTTGGTGAATATGGGCTCTGTTCCCAGAGCTGTTATATTACCTTGGTTAGATTTCTCATCCATCCTTTGCTTCAGTTTCCACTTTTATTTCTTAATTCTTTCTTGGGACTTTTGCCAGTATCAACTAGTAAATGTGTACTTTAAGCTTTGAGAGGGAGAGACATAGTAAATTGCCTCAGTTATCAAAATAAATATATCAAAATTGTGATTATCCACACTGATTTTCCTCCTGGAAATCTTTAATCCCATGAGTGCTTCTGCAGTGGCTCCTGGCACAAATCCCTAGCGACAATTTTGCCTTGTTTCAATCTAAAAAGTCCATGGGAAACAGATTGCTTTTAATGAACTTACAATGAATCCACCCAATTCGGAATACAATACAACATTCAGCATACCCCCATCCACCCACCAGATCATTCAAGGAACACATTCCTGGGTAATGATGATCTATTCTATGTGTGATAGACTTAATATAAACAGCAAACAAACCCTTCAGCAGAGGTTTTGGGTAAGCTGGCATGCATGAACAGTTATTGGCATTAAACTAGAACACAGTGTTGTAAGGAATGATCTGCCTACCTTTCTAGTAGTATGCAGAAAAAAAAAAAAAAACAATCCTATTTAATTGAACAGTGAAAGACCAATTTATACCAATTTTCTTTAGCATTTGAGCAATCTTCAAATAGGATTTGTAATGTCTTAGGGTTACTATTGCTGTGGTAAAACACCATGACCAAAAAGTAAATTGGGGAGGGAAGGGTTACTTTGGCTTACACTTGTATACCATGGACCATTACTGAAGGAATTAAGAACAGGAACTCAAACAAGGCTGGAATCTGGAGGCTGGAGCTGATGCAGAGGCCATGGAGGGATGATGCTTACTGGCTTGTTTACAATAGCTTTCTCAACATACTTTCTTATAGAACCCAGGACCATCAGCCCAGGGGTGGGCCCTCCTGAATCAATCACTAATTAAGAAAATATCCTATAGGCTTCCCAACAGCCTGATCTTACGCATGCATTTTCTCAACTGCCTATACCACTACCCCCCAGAACTCAAAATTGTGTCAAGTTGACATAAAATTAGCTAACACATAGAACAAATGAAATATTTTAAAATTTGACACCTGAGCCTTTGAAATTCCCAGGACATGGTCTTTGGAGTGAGGCAGTTGTTCACACTGAAGATAAAGTTCATGTCCACTCCAACTTCTGGTCATGCACATTTTATCTGACATGGCCAAACATCATTTCACAGCCATCTTGTAGTAATTTACATTCTTTTCTTTGCCCCCCTTTTTTTTCACAGCTGTTGTGAACTTGGACAATTCTGTGGTTGACCTGGAGACCCTTCAAGCTCTCTATGAGAATGTGAGTAGAAGTAGTTCTTTTGTGTGATCTACTCAGTACATGTGTATGTTCACATGTGAGATGGCTGTTTTAATGTCCTCTGAAGAAACTCAGTCTACATGCAGTAGGGTTTTATGTGTTCATAATACTTTCTAGGAACATACTGAACAAATGTGTGGTCTCAAAGTTTTCAGTGCTGACTCAAAAGATGCTGCTTTTAAAGTTATTCATATTTCCTCTTCTGAAATAATAGCAGTGCTTGTGTGGGCATTGACTTCAGCCCTGCATTGCTGTCTGCACTTCACAGACTTAAAATACTTTCTCAGTTTTTAGCTTTTCAAAGTAAACTAATTTTAAAGTATGTTACAATACTTGATGCAGGAAAAAAAAATCTGTGCCTAGTGTCTTTTACAAAATGTTCTGCACAACTTTATAATTTTTACCTTTTATTAAGAACATAATTTATACATATTTGTGATATACAAAGTGGTATTATGGCTGATAAATGTGGAATAAGTCTTATTAATATCCATCAAGTCAAATACTTAGCTTTTATGGTAAGAACATGGGAACTTAATCAATTTGCACTTTTGTAACATAGGAGCATTTACCTATAGTGGTTTAAAAGAAAATGACCCCCATAAGGAATGGCACTATTAAGATCTGTGGCCTTGTTGGAGGAAATGTGTCCTGTAGGGTGTGGGCTTCAAGATCTCTATACTCAACATATGCCCAGTGTCACATTTCACTTCCTGTTTCCTATGGATCAAAATGTAGAACTCTCAGTTCCTTCTCTAACACTATGTCTGCTTGCATGCCACCATGTCCCATCATGGTGATAATAGACTAAACCTCTAAAAATATAAGCTGTCCAACTAAATATTTTCCTTTATAAGAGTTGCTGTGGTCATGTTGTATCTTTACAACAATAGAAACCCTAACCAAGACATTACTACACTTTGAAATGCATCTAAAATAAGCCCCCATTTCTCCATATTAATTGAGATATTGTATCCTTTGCTTATTCTGTCCTCTGTCCTCATTGTGCCCAGCTTCACTTCTGGTAACCACTACTTATGCTCTGTTTCTATAACTTTAAACATTTTAGCTTCTACATATAAGTATGAACATTTGGTGGTTTTTTAAAATATGTGATTTATTTCATTTAGCACAATGTTTTCAAACTCTATCTATATTGAATCAAATTTGTTTCCTTTTAAGTCTCAAAAATATTGATTTTTTTATGTGTGTTTGTGTATTTGTGTGTGTGTGTGTGTGTGTGTGTGTGTTACACTTTTATTCATTCATCTGCTAGATACAGCATGATGCTGTTAATTTGAACACTTTGAATAGTGATTCAGTGACCATGGGAAGGCAGATAGATACCTCCTGAACATACTGGTGTTAAATCTTTTGAACCAGTGTCTAGATGCAAGATTGCTAGATCATGTGGTGATTTTACATATAGATTTTGGGAAATAGCCATGAGCTTTACCATTATGGCAGTCCTAATTCATACCACCACACACAGAATTCGATATTCACACTTTCTTCTTTTTACATATTGCTATTCTGGGAGATGTGAAAAGCTGTCACAGTATGAATTCAGTTTATATTTCTCTGATGATTAGTGATGCTGAGCATATGACTGTTGGATAATTCTATGTCCTGAGAACTATTTCTTAATATCATTGGTCCATTTTTTCAACTGGATATTGTGTTTTGTTCTGTTCAGGTATTTGAGTTTCTTATGTTTTTGTAGGTTAGGTCTTCATTAGTTGTATATATTATTCAATGATATGTATCCCTGTTGGTTAATGTTAACAATAATCAGTCATAGTTTAGTGTGGTAACTTTATACTATTAATATTTTCTTTTCTATATAATCATTGCATATTCCCTATGTACTGGTTAAGACGACTATTAATTAGACCATCAAGGTTTGTGCTTGTGTGTACTTGATGTTATTTATTAGTATCTTTTATTTCCCCTTATAGAATTCTTTTTGAAAATTTTGTTTATGGTTTTGAATGTTGATTTCCAACTAAGGTACATTCTCTAGGGCTATTAAGATGTCTCAGTAGGTAAAACCTTATGTCCTGAGTTTGTTCCCTGAGCCATATATGATAGAAGGAGGAAGTGAGAAATGAATCTCCACACTGAACTTTAGTATACATTGGCACATGTGTACACACACAAATGTAATAAAATACAAATTTAAGTGAAAAAAAAAAAAAAAAGAATTGTTTTTGACAATCTCATTGGACCCAGGTTGAGCACTGATCCCTTTGTTGAGCTTAGGTTTGTCAGAATTTTAGTTGGGTTTTTATTTGCTTATTTGTTTTAAGTTGTTTGTAGCATGGTTTTGTTGTCTGAGATAAGGTGTCACTGTGTAGTCCTGACTGACCTTGATTCCCCAGAGATCCACCCACCTCTGCTTCTCAAATGAGTGCTAGGATTAAAGGAAAGTATTTATTTTATGCTTGCCTATTAACTCTCTGGGAGTGTGTGTGTGTGTGTGTGTGTGTGTGTGTGTGTGTGTGTGTGTGTGTGCACATCTCACTGCTTAAATGTGGAGGCCAGAGGACAATTTAACAGGATTAAGTCCCCTCCTTCTATCTTTTGAGTTCTGGGAATCAAACTCAGGTCATCATTCATGGCAGCAAATGCCTTTACCTGCTGAACCATCTCACCCTGTTGTATGTTTCTAATCTTTTACCAGTCTAAGATTTCTTTCCATGGCTTTGCTTTCTGTTTGGTTTTCTTTGTCTTTATTTTATTTTTTTTTTAGTTTTTCGTATTTTATATATTGATCACAGTTCCCTCTCTCCCCACCCTCCCATGCCCCCCCCCCCCGCCCCATCCCATTCCCTACCCACTCAACAGGGAGGGTGTGATGCCTTCCAAGAGGGATCAACAAAACCTGTCAAGTCATTTGGAGTAGGGACTAGGTCCTCCCTCCTGTTTCTGGGTAAAGAGAGTATCCCTCCATGGGGAATGTGCTCCCAAAGTCCTTTTGTGCATCCTGGTTCCACTGTCAGAGGTCCCTTAGACTGCCCAGGTCTTGTAACTGAGACCCACATTCAGGGGGTCTGGATAGGTCCCATGCTGGTTTCCTAGCTATTCATCTGGGCTCCATGAGCTCCCCCTTGTTCAGGTCACCTGTCTCTATGGGTTTCTGTAGCTTGGTCTTGACCCCTTTGCTCATCACCTCTCCTTCTCTGCAACTGAATTCCAGAAGTTTGGCTCAGTGTTTAGCTGCGGGTGTCTGTTTCTGTTTCCATCGTCTACTAGATGAGGGCTCTATGATGGCATATAAGTTATTTATCAATCTCATTATCAGGAAAGGGCATTTAAGGTAGCCTCTCCACTATTTCTCAGATTGTTAATTGGGGTCATCCTTGTAGGTCTCTGGACATTTCTATAATGTCAGCTTTCTCATCAAGCATATAATGGCTACCTCTATTAATGGAATCTCTTTTCTTGTTCTTGTATATTTGTTCACCGACCCAATCTTACTGGTCCCTCATGATCTCCTCTCCCCTTCTCTTTCTCCTAACTCCCTCTCCACTCACTGCCTCCCACCCCCCACTCCCAATATGCTCAGGAGTTCTTATCCCTTTCCTCTTCTGTGGGGTACCTTGTATGACTCTATTAGGGTCCTCCATATCCTAGCTTCTCTGGTGGTGTGAATTGCAGGATGGTGACCCTTTGCTCTATGTCTAAAATCCATATATGGGTGAGGACATACCATGTTTTTCTTTTTGTGACTGTGTTACCTCACTCAGGATGGTTTCTTCACGTTTTATCTGTTTGCCTGTGAATTTCAAGATTCTATTGCCCCCCCCCCCACACACACACACTTAGTAGTATTCCATTTTGTAAATGTACCACATCTTCTTTTGTTGAGGGGCATCTATGTTGCTTCCAGGTTCTTGCTATTACAAATAATGCTTCTATGAACATAGTTGAAGAGATGTTTTTGTTGTGAGGATGTGGATCATTTGGGTATATGCCTAAGAGGGGGATTGGCGGGTCCTGTGGTAGATTGATTCACATTTTTCCGAGGAACCTCCATACTGATCTCCAAAATGGCTGTACAAGTTTGCACTCCCTCCAGCAGTGGAGGAGTGTTCCCCTTTTCCCACATCGTTTCCAGTATAAACTGTCTTAGGTGTCAGTTGGGTGGCTTGGGCAGTCTATGGGACCACTGGCAGTGGAACTATTATTTATCCTAGTGTATGAATTGGCTTTTTGGAGCCCATTCCTTATGGAGGGACACTCTTTCAGCCTAGATACAGGGGGGAGGGCCTCAGCCCTGCCCCAAATGATGTGGCAAACTTTGATGATCTCCCCAGGGAAGCCTCGCCCTCTCTGAGGAGTGGATGGGGGATAGAATGGGGAGATGGTGGTGGGGAGAGGGAGGTCTGGAGGGAGAGGGAACTGGGATTGGTATGTAAAATAAGAGTGTTTTTAATTTAAATTTAAAAAAAATAATAATAAAAGATAACCCAATGGTCTAGACACTTTAAAAAGATAACCTAATAATCTGTTGAGAAATTTCTAATGCTTCGTAGTGAGACCCTTATCTCCATATTAGGGAAAGGAAAAAAATGTTAGGAGCTGGAACATATAAAAATGTTTACATTTTCAAGACATCTCCAAGGAGAGTTTGGTAGACAATATAGAGACAGTTCAAAGACAAATAAACGTGTCTATCTAATAAGCATTTGAAAAAGCTTATATTCTTAATAGTCAACAGGCAAAATAAAACAGAACATCAATGAAATAACTTTTCTTAAGCCTCCAACCATAAAGTATGATGGCTTTTCAAAACTAAGAGAAACAGCTGTAAAGTCAAAAGGAAGATATATATATATATATATATATATATATATATATATATATATATATATCACAGTTCAGCCCCCATGAAAACAATTTGGCACAATCTAGTTGAATTGAAGATGCACTGAACATGCAATCCAGGAATTCTACCCTTCATGCTCTATTCTCAGTAG